GTTGTTGCAGGGGACCTGGGGGGTTCTCTGGGGGACATCAGTCCCAGAGGGCAGCGGCTTCTCCACAGGAGAGGTCTGAATGTGCAGCCATGACCTGACCAGGTCTAAATGCAAAGGCAAAAAGGACATAATCGAGCTGCTCCCAGAGGCTGTGTTCAGCCACTCGTTTATAACTTTCTCCAGGATGTTCTATGGCCTGCTTCTGTCTCCTGCCTGTGCTCCTTGGGGGGAGCCCCACTGCGTTTTTGTTACCTGTGTGGTGAAGGAGGGGGCCCCTCTTGGGGGGTTTCCCCAGCCTGGCCCTTCGCAGCCCCATCTGTGTCACTACCTCAGGTGATCTGGTGTCCCCCTGGTACCTGGTCCCCGGGCGGGGGGGCATAGCATCTATCGGCTGGGACTGGAGGGTGAGCAGTCAGGTGTTCCTGTCCACTGACATCCAGGGAGCTGGTTCCTCCACCCCCAGCGCTAATCTAATCAGGAAATAGCAAAGTCCACATTTCCCAGGGGTTATAAATAACCACAGCAATTCAGACAGCATTATTTCTCTGGAAAATGTGCCATGTCCCTCTCTACTCTCCACCCTCCCTTCTCTGTATTTAAATGACATCCTGAAATAGACTTGGTTTCTGGAGGCTGCTGGCCTCCTGGGAGACAGGGCTTCATCGTCAGGGCACCGAGGGGCTGGGCAGGCCTCCCCACGCGGGTAGCAGGGCCGCACCTGCAGACGGGATTTGGAATAGGGCGGTGGCAGGACTCACAGTAAAACACGACAGTGCCACCTTACCCAGACCTGGCCTCAGACAGGCTGAAACAAGAGCAAACTGTGCAGGGGACGGGGTCCTAGCGTGGCAGGGAGGCAGAGGGGAACTGAAGGTTCCTGAGGCCTGGAGTTATCTGGGAAGGCTTTCTGGAAGAAGCAGGGCTGGGATTAGGCCTTAGCATCAAGGCTTGCTAAGGCCCTGTCTTAGATGTTCCCAGGAGAATGTAGGGTTGCTACTTGGCAGCTGGAACAGAAGTGATGGGAAGGGAAGGAATGAAAGAATTGTACTGGGGTTGGCCTGCCAGCACCCAGGTCAGCCTGTGGTGTCAGACCGTGGAGGGCCAATATCTCCTTTCTAGATAAATAATGATCACAGCAGCTGCCTTGCCAAGAGGCAAGGATGCCAGGCTAGGTGCAGTACACCTAGCTGGGCGGGGTAGGATCTTGCAGGCTTAGCTGGGGCGAGTCAGGGATACTTGATTTTGTACCCCAGCTCTCACTTCCTAGATGTGTAGCACTGGGCAAACTCCTCATCCCTTTAAGCCTTGGTGTCTCATCTGTAGAAGGGGAGCAGCTAGAAAGGCTTAAACCTCATGGGCTTGTTATGATGATTGATTGAGATGCTGTATGTAAGGGGTTTGTCATAGAGCCAGACTTACAGGAAATGTTCACAACACATCAGTTGCTGTTACTATTTTCCATGGCAACGCTCTGAGGCAGGTATGGACACCCCTGTAG